GTCCCGGAGCGGCAGCCTGAACCCCGGCGGGCTGGCCCAGCTCTGCCGGCACCCTTCGCGCCCCGCCGCCGGTGATCGCTGACTGACACGAAGTGACAGGCACGCTCCCACCGTCGGGTTTCTAGGTCCCCCGCGCTCCCCACGCGCGTTCGCAGCCCCATTTTCCCCGTAAGACCCGTGGGCCCTAGCGATGGGGATGCGGTCGCACTTGGACTGGTTCCCCTCTTGGGCGCTCGGGTAGGCGCTCAGGTTCTCACCTCGCCGCCTGGGGCGAGGCAAGGAGACAGGCTCTTCATCCTTCTGCAGGGCCTCGCTGTCCCGTCTGCCCCTCTGATCCTTCTGTCCCCTCCAGACTGAGGGAACCCAGGGTCCTGGTTTCTTCGCCTCGGCACAGCCGGAGCGGCCTAGCGGAGGATGTAGGGGGTGTGACGCTTGGTGGAGAGTTCCGAGCTGCCGTGGAACCGCGTGGGGTTGGCGCGGCGCCAGGCACTCCCGGGTTCACCTGCAGTTTAATAAGCGGGAGGTGAGCTAGGGGGACTGGTGGAGGAGAGGTTAGGGGTGGAGGGGGGAGACTTGCTGGGGCTGGCCAGGCTGGCGGCGCCCAGCGCAGGGAGGGGGCAGACAGTGGCTAATAGTCTGGGGGATGGGGTGAGCTGGGAGGGTGGGCTGGGCTCCTTGTGCCTTGGAACATCACCCTAGCTCTGTGGCTTCTGGTTACCTAATTGCAACACTTCGGTTCTACCTCTCACTCCTCGGAGGGCTCTTCCGGGCTTCCAGAAAGGGACTGCCACTGCCCTTCTCTGCAGGGCCACCACTGTGCTCTTCGCTCCTTCCGCCTGCTACCATCAAGGTTATTTCCAGGATCACCTTGGCCCCCCACCTCTAGAACCAGCCAAATTTGAATTCCACGAGGCCACTGTTGGTGGCAGCCAAATCCTAGTCTGGGTCCTTTCCCCAGAAGCCCATCTTTTCAAGCCATGGATTGTCCATTGTGGGATCAGGTGACCTCAGTTTCCCCCAAGTGCTGACCTGTCTTCTGTCCCAGGCTGCCAATGGGGTTCTCTTAAAACGTGGATTCTGCCATGTTTAAAATGCAGACCCTGCTGGGAGGAGGTGCTCCCCTGGGCCTTCCATCTTAATGCTACTGACTCCTTAATGCTGTTGTTGTTAGTTGCCATTGAGTTGATTCCAACTCATGGCAACCCTGTGTGTGCAGAGTAGAACTGCTCCATAGGGTTTTCAAGGCTGTGATCTTTTGGAAGCAGATCACCAGGCCTTTCTTCCAAGGCACCTCTGGGTGGGTTTGAACCGCGAGCTATTCAGCTAGTAGTTGAATCCTTAAAAGTTTGCACTTCCCAGGGACTCCTCTCTTAATGCTATTGTTGTTGTTAGGTGCCACTGAGTTGGTTCCGAATCATAGCGACCCTGTGTACAACAGAACAGAATGCTGCCCTGTCCACGTCATTCTTACAATCCTTGCTATGTTTCAGCCCATTGTTGCAGCCACTGTGTCAATCCATCTTGCTGAGGTTTTCCTCTTTTTCGCTGACTCTCTGCTTTACCAAACATGATGTCCTACTCCAGGGATTTGTGTCTCCTGATAGCATGCCCAAAGTAAGTGAGACAAAGTCTCACCATCCTCGCTTCTAAGGAGCATTCCACCTGTACTTTTTCCAAGACAGATTTGTTCATTCTTTGGGCAATCCATGGTATATTCAATATTCTTCTCCAACACCATAATTCAAAGGCATCAATTCTTCCTTATTCATTGTACAGCTTTTGAATGCATATGAGGTGATTGAAAATACCATGGCTTGGGTCAGGCACACCTTAGCCCTCAAAGTGACATCTTTACTTTTTAATACTTTAAGGAGTTCTTTTGCAGCAGATTTGCCCAATGCAATACATCGTTTGATTTTTTTTGACTGCTGCTTCCATGAGTGTTGATTGTAGATCCAAGTAAAATGAAATCCTTGACAATTTCAATGTTTTCTCCATTTATCATGATACTGCTTATCGGTCCAGTTGTGAAGATTTTTGTCTCCTCTATGTTGAGGTGTAATCCATACTGAAGGCTGTAGTCTTTCATCTTCATATAAATGCTTCAAGTCTTCTTAATGCCATCACTGTCATCTAATTGTCCTGACACTTTCCTGAGATGGGTTGGGCTGGAAGGATGGGGCTCTGATGTAGGAGGGAGTAGGAAAGGGTGCTTGAGTCCTTGGAGGGGGCAAGCCTGGGAAGGCAGGGCATATAATAGGGCTTTATCCAGCCAAGGAGAGGGCATAGGGGGTGGTAAAGCCTGGGGGCTGGGGACAGGGATAGGGACCCCCAAGGGGATAGATTTTTTAAAAAAGGTATAGGAGGGCCCCAAGCCCATGCTGGCTGCTTTGCCCAGCCCAGGTGCAGCTGTGACCTAAGTGACAAGGATAGTAGTATCTCCAGCTTTTTGTACTCTTGGTGCCTGGGTGGCATGCTGGACAGAACATCTTCTAGAGGGGAGTTCTTCATTGTGAAGAATAGAGAAGTCCTGCGTCTCTCACTCGTGATGGGGGGACTGGAGGGAGGAAGGGGCTTCTAGGGCTGGGCTTGAGAAGGAAGAGACTTGATGGAGAGTGTGGTCCTATGAGCTCCTGCACAGTTTGGGCATTTCCCTCCCTAAGGCCCAGACCCATTTGGAATGGATGGAAGGAGGGAGTGTGAGGCTCAACAGCAAGCCAGGCTCCTAGCCCAAGTGAAGGCAGGGATTTCAATGTTGAGTCTCTGCTCTCCAAGGCCTTGGCTCTTTCTTCTGCCACCTTCGTTTTACATTCATCCTTGGGAAGTCTTGGTTTTATGCCTAGGCCTTCAGGGCTTGAAGTAGGTGGTTGTACTCAGATAGGAAAACTGAGGCACAGGCAATCATATCCCAACATCACCTGGGGTCTTATTATTCTAATAGAAAACCACACCTGTTGCCGTCAAGACGATTCCGATTCATAGCCACCCTATAGGACAGAGTAGAACTGCCCCATAGGGTTTCCAAGGAGCAGCTGGTGGATTTGAACTGCCACCTTTTGGTCAGCAGCAGAGATCTTAACCACTTCACCACCAGGGCCCCAGTATTCTAATGGCCCTTTTATTTCAATGGCACCTGGTAAATTAGCCAGAGTGTATTAAGCACTTCCATTTATCTGTGCTTTAGGATCCTCAAACAGCCCCCATGCTGTGATTCTATTATTATCCTCATTTTACAAATGAAGTTAAGAGAGGTTGGGTTACTTGCCCTAAGTCTCTCAGCTTGTGAGTGGTAGAGCTGGGAGAGGTGGAGCCTGCATTCAAATGCAGACTAGCTGACTTTAGAGCTGGTACTCAACCCTCTGCCACACAGCCTCCCAAGCTACAAGGCCATCAGGAACTCCCACCGTGTGCCCAGAGATGAATTGGTGCAGAGGGGGGAGTGCTCCAAGAAATGAAACTGACATGCGCACACACACACACACACATACACACACACACTCCTACCCACGTTTCTGCAAACATGGAGCCACGTTCAGTGTCATGCCTAAGTGTTTGCACATGCACACAACACACTATCTCTCAGTCTGGGCACAAAAGCACACACAGATTATTTGCACGGAGGGAATGGAGACCAGACCTCCCCCTTCCCTCCTTCTTTGACTTTCAAAAGGGAGTGGCTCAAGCCTCTCTAACCCTTCCTGGTTCCCACTGGCTCCTGAATCCCTTCTCCTCCACTTACTCCCCTCCCCTCCAAGCCTTCTCCCCTAGCCCCTTCCTGGCCATAGGCTGCAGCCAGCAGCAGCAGCTGACTCCACTTAGATGTTGGCAGTCCCTGTCCCAGATCAAAGGCAGGATGGCTAATTGTGCGTCTTAACGAACTGCACCCTCCTTGCTCTGAGCAGCTCAGCTGGCTATAACTCCACCTCTCTCCCCCTCCAGCTGGCCAGACGGCACAGTGCCTACATCTGCCCCAGACAGGTGGGGGCAGGGCTGAAACTGGGGCCCCGAATGGGAGCTGGGGGCAGACCCAGTGAGCTGGACTTCCCTGAGGCCTGGATGTTTGGAACAGACGCTGGCCACACTGGCCCTGCCTGGTCACCCCTACACGTGGCTGTGACAGCTGTCAGAGGCCATGAGGTGGTGTAGGGAAAGACGTCTTCAGCCGCATGGGGGTCGGAGTGTTCTCTGCAGGCTGTGGGTTACATTTCTCCAGATCTGTCCAGCCTGCCTTGAAGGTATCAGGACCTGGAAGATGGTAGTTGGCCCTGCACACCCCCCTGGACCAGGCGTCTTGCTCTTTCCTGGTGCTGTGTGTGGACAGGGTCCTAGGGACTGGGAACTGGACTACCTGGGTTTCTTTTTTAGCAGCAGGATTCCTGTAGAGCTGAATATCTTTCAGTAGGAAGTTGCTAGGCCTGGGAGCTGGGAGAGATAGGGCTGGGTCCAGCTCCTCGACCCCTGTGAACTTTGGCTTCCCCTCTTTGCAGACTATGTACATGTGTGTGCTGCACGTGCGCATGCAAGCATGTGTATGGGGGGATTTCTGGTCTGAGCACTAGC